ATCATGCTTTAGCCACTGATCTCTCCTCTTCTCTACATACCTGAAATTAGTAGCAATTCTGCTGCTGACAAACAGCTTACTGCAGGCACACAGTTAAAATGGAAGTCAAACTAATTTCTGGAATAGCATTTAGTGGAAAAAATGAGTAAACAAAGTAGGTAGAAGTGATATGACAAAATACAAAACCTCCCAACAGACTGGACTGCTTTTGCTTCCTCTGGGGTTTACCAAAACATTCCAAACCTCTGAGCTTTCTGCTAACTATTTTTCTTTTTGTTTACAAATACATAGCAAAATGCCACCCAAAAGGAAGTGCTGCAATTTCCACAAATCCAGGAACACTCTCTCGCTCCTTCGACAGGCGGTACTCCTCGATCACTGCCACACCGAGGCTGCTGCTACAGGTCTGGCTCACAACTACGCTGCCCCTGGCACAGAACCAGAGAAACGATCCAGCTCTGCACTTCATGACCCAGGAAAGCTGGAAGTTGTCTCCTCTCCTCTGCCCCTCAGTCCTTCTTTTCTGCTGGTATAAAGGACTGTTCTCAGTTGTGGCCCAGCATAGGATAAGAGAGCCTACAATCACTACAGACATATATGAAAGCTTTTAAACTGGTACATTATTTTAAATGCTAATTTTTTATGGACTTTAATGCATTTTATGGCCTGCAATGCTCAACATACCATAACTGCTCTTACAGCACTTTGTGTTACACGCTGAGCATACAAAACACAGCAAGGCAGCTACAGAAATGCGCAAACTACCTAAAACATTTCTAAATATGGACCTATAAAATCAAGGTATGTGCAAAATCTATCAACAAAGTACAGCATAAATGGTGTGCAATCAGGTCCTCAGGAAAGGCAGTTAAAAACTAACCAAAAGAGAAATCACAAAAGCAAACACTCGTATTTTCAAGCTGCAAATTCAGCTCATTAAGAAACTGCATCTGTGTCTCTGACTTCTTACTTCAGACAGACACTACGCATTTTCCAATCCAAAAATCACAATTCATTGTGAAATTAAAACACAAGCACAATATCAGCAGAAATCACAAATTTATTAATCCTTAAATATATCAATCATTTACCATTATGGCAATAAATATGTACACTGTGTCCCATGGTAAACTGCAGTGTTCCAAAATGACAGAAGTGTATAATTCAGTTGTGGTGGAGAGAACAAATCACAATTTCCTCACGTCTTGGTGTGGAAGACAAACTTGGTCTACAGTAATACGTCAACACCACATGCTATGTTAGAAGTATAAAAAAAACCACCCTACACCTAATTTGTTAATTTTAAGTACAGTTATGCCACTTACAGCCGCTTCACAAAAAAAAGTAAAGAAATTAATGAGAAATAAAATGAGGCCATTACTTTTTTTCACAGATCCCATTGGCAGGTTAATATGGCTCAACACATTTATTGTAGATGCTTATTTTAAATATATACTGTTTAAAATCATGTAGTAATTATCAGAGAAGCTTAAATCCATCTACCATACATCCACTAGTAACAACATCAAAATGTTTAAGAACTGCTTTTGATTAGTAATCAACACAGAAAGGTGAAATGATACAAATTAGGAAGCATTCCTGTTTTAAAAACTTCAGGCTGCTGAGCTGTGAATTTTTCACTGCTAAAAAGGACATTGATTGAGATATCATGCACTATACAGCGCTGCAGAAACCAGTTAGCCCTGTTGGTAACAAAACAATTAACAAATGAAAAAAAACCAAAATAACCGATCCCTGTATTTTTCTATTAAAAATGTAAAGGAATAGACCTAAATGCTTGCAAGGATGTATTTTCACAGCAATGTAAGGGGAGTAAAAATAGTCCCTGTTATAAAGTTTGTGTTCTGAACTGACACCGAGAGCACTCCCCGTGCAGCACCCGGGCATTTGCAGCAACGGATCAGGGGCCAAACGAGTTGGTAACGCTGCAGAGATTGCTGTCCTCGATACCGTACGCTGCGTGAGGATTTTAAGAAACCAAGAGCAGATTGAGGGAGAAACAAATCTGTGGTAAAGTGTTAGGGTTGTATTAGAAAACCGGCGTATCCATAAACATTTCCAGAGAAGCAACAGCAGCAGCGCAAAGTAAACTCTTCATACTAAGCTTTTAAGGCCTAATATTTCTCGAGTATATTAACCACACAACCGGTCCATAGCTTAACCAAAATTTTATAGTTTTTAAAGCCTCCTTAAAAATTTTACAGTACATCCTAAAAGCGATAACAATCTATCTTACTCTATTCTTCTCATTCTAATCCTCAAAAACTGCCCCTCAATCTTCACTTTGTTCCTTACAATTTTTAATGTTGCTTAATCATCCGACAGAAATTTTCAGTTAGCATAATAAGAAAGCAAAGGTAAAGACTCAAAAGAAATAAAGAAGCTGCTGGCTCACCAGAACATTGACAGTTAATTCTGAAGTGACCCAGCCAGCAAATGATGAGATTTTTCCAGTTTACATAGACTAATAAACGAAGAAGGCTTCAGCTGGTACAAAGCCAAGATATTATCACTTCCACATTTATCAGTGATTTTGTCCATCTACATGCTGTTACAAAAATCTGCTTTAGAGTAACGGAGCTGCCAGCGGAAATCCTAACCATTCCTACCAGAACCAAAGCAAAATCCTGGGACTCAAGGGAAAAGGAGGATTCAAAAAACAGTTCTTAAAAAAAGAGGGTAAAACGTACTTTTTCTTTTTTTTTTTTCTTTCTTTTTTTTTTTTTAATAAACGGAACAGTTTTTAAAGTTGTCTGTCAAAACTTGGCATAAATGGAGAAAGTGACAAATGTACTCTTTATCTACTGCTGCCCATCAAATATTTTTTTTGTCTTTTATGCCTTATTATTCTCTATTTGCATGGAACATCACTTTCATTGAAATGTTAACAGTGTACAGATGGAATATACAGCAACATGGTGCATCACAAATGTGTTACATGAAGAACCTTCACAACTTCATGCACTCAGAAACATGCATGAAGAGTACGGGATGGCCAAGATGGTAATCAACCAGGTGCGTTGGGTACAGAAAATGCAAGAGCGGCACCGCTGATATTTTTAGCTAGGAGGAAGGAGAGAAAAAAAACAACAGATTGCCATTACTGAAGTAACATCAACACCAGATAACAATACATGCTCAAGTGTTAGCCAATGCTATTAAAAAATATATTCTCAGGATCAGTTAACACAACATTGTGAAGAAAACCAAGGGAAAAAAAAAACCCAAATGCTCAGGCAAAGCATTCTTTTATTTTTCAAACCACTTTACAGACATTTTCCATCTTTACAGCATGCCAGAGAGGCTTTTAAAATAAAAAAGGAAACTGAGGCAGGAAGCCAAAGTGCCTTAACCGATTTCTCAAAGAAGGGAGGGCAGAATTCAGATGTGAAACTCTGAGTTTAACTTACTTCCTCAGCACGTACATTACAGACACTGCCCGTGGACTGAGATTCTCATACAAAAAAATCGAACCAAGTAAGAAGGAAGAATCAGATGTCATCTACATGCAAGACATGCTAGAGCCGTAAGCAAAGAGAAAAGGAAAGGAATGTGTAGCAAGTAGTTGACTAACTCAGCTTATAATATCATTGGTATTACCGTAGCATCTAGGGGCCGAAGTCGTGATTGGGATCCCGCTGTGCTAGGCACTGTACAAACACAGAACAAACTCTTTACTTAAGTCTTCCTGCTGTTTGGTATTTAACTTATTGAAGTATAAGAAGGTGCAAGGTGTGATAAGTGAGGGAATATAAAGTCTGGGAGCCTTGGGTCTGATTTTAGATTTGTGAGTCAGTTTTAAGTCCAATAGCCCTTTGACTGCCCGTACCATGTGGGTCCACTCTCTGTGTATATGCGGACACAGTTCTGCAGAAAGACATTAGTACAAGCTCTTAAGAACATGGAGAACAGAAAAACTTCCTACCATCAGTCATATCACCCAGAGAGAAACAATGGACAAGACATAAACCAAAGTTTGTCTGGTCTGACTTGCAGCAAAAGCTACAAATAAAATTTATTTACAAACGAGATATCTATTTGTGCTCATATTCTTTTCCAAATAAATTATCTGCCATAAGGAAACATTTCCATACACCTATAACTACCAAAGAGCTCAGTTCTGTCCTTAGATTATGCACATTTCTTACTGTAGTCCTGAAAACAAATCAGCTACTGCGCTTGCAGCAACTGGTTTGATGTAATCTAGAATACTACATTTGCAAAAGCAGATCACAGCTATAATTGCTTTCGCAAGCTTATTAGATTTGAAATTCTTCTTATGTGTAAGGTATTTTTTTACTATGGAAGTGACATTATCAACTACTGTGCATTGGTAAGAATTAAATAAATAGCTGCAAGACTGCATAAATTTCTAATACGAGAAAAGAAAGGAAGGATAATCTAGAACAGTATTTTCATTAAATTTCTTCCGTAGCTTTCCAAAATGGAATTATTGGTACTCCATATTGCTGCTCTGACTGGGAAAAGTAAGGGTGAAGTTCAAGGCAGTTCAAAAGATGTTCAGGATGGGTTACAGAAGGTGAGTTCCAGCATGGCACTACATGGAAATCTACCAGTTAAACTTGAGAAGATGGGGATTAAGGAAAGAATATGAAAAATAACAGAAAGAAAAATGACAATGCTTGGGTTGAAAGGGGAACTATCAGCCTGGAGGAGACTCGCTAGTCTTTGCCAATGACCTGAGCATAAGCAGTAGGACTGATCTCATGTAGGATACTTACGCTTCGGTGGAAGGCACTATAAATACAAAGGAAAACGGGAGTATTGTGCAAGAAGAACCAAATAACCTTGAGAGCTGAGTAATCCAGAAATGTTACATGCAATAATAGGAAGTGTAAATCTGCATGGTCAGCAGAAGTTTCTATATACCGGTGGGCTGGAAAGGACAGTTGAAGATAAATACATGGCTGTCTTAGATGATCTGCTGATGTGATGTAGATGACAAAAGTGCAAAAATCATGCCAGAACATAGCAGTTGTGGCATTCACAACAAGGAAAAGAAAGACATTGTGAAGTTAAATGAAGCTCTGACCACAACTGTACATGGTATTTCAGAAGAACCCAAGCTAATGAAAAACAAACCTCAAACCAAAAAAAAAGTGAAGAGCTGTTAAGGCAGCCAGGAAAATGGAGATCCTATCATAAAAAGCTGACCAGGTTAGCATTGGTTATTTACCCTATGAAAACAGAAGGTGGGAAGCAATCTAATCAGCCTTCATATAGAACAGCTCATGTCGCATACCTATCCTCAGCACAGGAGAATGATGATGAAATAAGAATAATCAAGGATACCTTGACTATGACTAAAATTTAGACTGGAAAGTGGGGTTTCTAACCATCAGACCAATAATATTTTAGAACTGTGATATCAGCAAGTCCAAAAAACTGCTCTAAATTCAAGATGAGGGTTAGGTAAGGGATTTATGTGATATTGTTGCCAGTGCTACATAGGGGCTACGTACCTAGGGCTCTGCTGCGATCTCAGAGCATCTCTCCTTAAGCCTTAGCCGTGCTCTAAGCTTGGACACCCTCTCACAATCCTGAAATCTCCTCTTTCTGACCTCATAAGCTCACAACACTCACTGACACAGAGGCAACCCTCCAGTCTCAAAAAAATTACTACCTCTCAGCTGCTTCTCCTTCCATCCATAGCAGTCCCAAAAATCCTTCTCTTTCTTAGAGAGCATGAGGAGCCGTAAAGAAATGACATTATACAAGCCCTAAATACTGGCACCGCTTCTGAGGGGCAAATCTCAGATCTGTACGTACAACTGCATTCCCTGGAGACATGTGGTCCAAAGGGCCAGGAGTTGCTCTGTGGCAGCTAGTACACTCCCTTTGTATTCCAGAGAAACTATCTCTGGTGGGTGTTTGTAGCAGCAATACGTGTCACAGCACACAGCAGCCCATCACACACGTACATGTTACATGAACTAAGTATTGAGGCTCCAGCCACAACACTGTACCTCAAAAAGAAGCAGCTGCAGAAGCTATTCAGTATATCCCTATAAAGTATTACTCAAAGAATTATTACAGGAATTATTGGGCAAATTCTATAACCTTCCATAAAAATAGTAATAAATTGGCTATTTCATTGCCTTCTGGTTTTGATGTCTGAGTCATAGATCACCTTTTCTCTTTAGGATTGTTTCCTAAAAATATGCTTAAGCTAAAAAAAACCTGGCACCCTCCCCACAAAAACCCTTCTCAAAAAACAGAGAGGAAGAAAAATCCCAAAGGAAAAAAAAAATAAAAAAATTCTCTAATCCAGTTGATGTCATTCTGCTATAAACACTTACTGTCCAGGGGGCACTGGGACAGGTAAACCTGTTTCACTTATGCCTTCTGACTCTACACATACCCCGGTCAGATCCCTTGACAAAACACTCCTTTATGAAAACATCAAAAATCTACATAACACTGGATTTCAAGAAAATGTAACTACTCTTTCAATGTTATCTGTTTAAACACCAGCAGTGCAGCTAGAATGTGAAAAACAAAGGATGACATAGTTTCTGCTCCATTGGTTTCACATTTTAAAATAAAACAGTTATCACCAGGTAATTGAATGACTTTTTTCCTAAATAAAAAGAAAATACAAAATCCATCCCCACTGGAGTCTAACACTTCATTCTATCATGCTCCTTACTTTATCAAGTATTATTTCATATAGGAGAATAGTGTCGCAAGAAGTAAAATATGGGACTTGAGGAAGTTTGAAGGATGAAATCTAATCTCTTGCCATCCACGCCAGGAAATTCAGCCACTATCCACATTAAGACACCTCACACAAATTAATTAGGTCTGATGCAGTGGGGTTGCACCTGAGCAAATCAAGGCCTATACCAGTGCTGCCTAATTTGGAAACAGCCTAACCTATGCCAGAAGTCAGTGAGGTTGGGCTCTGAGGGACACAGCAGCATTAGTGAAGGCTGCAAGCAGAAGAAAAGCAAAGGACTTTGGCAGAACCTCTTGAAGAGGCTGTGACTCTCCACCTTGTTATTGCAACTATGAGTGTGCTGTAATTTACACTGCTGAGACTCTGCCTAAGGAATTCAGGTTTGCACACGTTGAGTCATGGCATGACTCCGAGGGTATAAGAGGGTGTGCAGACATGCCCGAATGAACAAAAGACAAAAACGATGACAGGAGACATCTGAGGTTTACCCACGTAGACATCCTAACTATCAGATAGTGACTATTCAGCAGTTAAGCAAAGAGTGTGGGAAAAGAGATAAGAATGTAATAGGTACTTGTACGATTTAATTTACAAAGTACATACGTAAACTGGCTCAAAATTAACTTGCAGTCAACATAACTAGGCCTGAGTAAGTACAGGTGGCTGGAAACCACAACAAATATTACTCAAACTTCAGTTTTTCAGAACAGTGTAACTTTTTTCCTTGAAATGTTTCAGTCAGCTCTAACAGCTCCATATATCCTATTGCTTTTTGTTTTTTTCATGTTTTCTTGAAATTCCATTTCACATTTTCCAATCCTATTTTGTGTGACTTGTATCAAGCCTTATCTATATTAAAACATTTTTCTGCTCTTCAAGCTGTCAGTTTAGGGACTGAGTTGGATCAGTGGGCAATCACAGTTGAAAACAACAACAAAAAAAGCATTATTTTAAAAATATTTGCACCAATACTATATGCAGACTACTGAATATAGTACACACTGCATAAATGACCACAAGAAATTACACTATCAACAGGACGTTTTCATAGTTTTTAAGGCCAAAAGCAGCTATGAGACTATCTGGTCTGACCTACATTATTTTAAACTTGTGGTCTGAATTGTTTCTTACTTGATAGGTACTGTCGGTGACCCTGAACGGTGAAAATGAACATTCTGCCATTTCCCATCACGACGGTGCCAGACCCGCGTTTCCTCTGACTGCATAGTCTTTGGCATCCCGCTTCCATCCATGTACTGTGTGAGCCGTATATACGCAATGCAAGCAGCATCGTCACCCACGAGGTGGACATGAGGATTGAGGATAATGGTGTGGATTGGCTTATTACTTTTGGATAAAGCTAGGAAACAAACACACACACACAGAGGAGAAATTAAATTTTCTTTATGTAAGGGAAAACAACTCATCTCAGTCCATTTTACAAAATAAAAATCTCAATCTTAGCAGCTACAAAGTAATCATTATTGTTTACTGATAAACACCACTGACAACTAGCTCAAGTTCATGGTAGAAATGAGCACAGTCACAGCATAAAGTATGCTTTCTCCTTTCCTATAAGGAAACCAGTCAAACGTTTAATGGTACGTATTATTCAATCCACGTACATACATGGATTAAACACAGTCAGGGCCACCATACTGAGTTTCCCAGTACTTCAGTTTCACTGCTGTGTCTAATGTCTAATGACATTTGTACTTAATATTCTCAGTTAAAATAATTCAGCTTTTAACTCTTGTGGTGTATTTTATTAACTGCTGATATCTATGAAAACTAAAAAGCAGTAGTAGTGAAAGGAAGCATTTTAAGGAAAAATATGGAAAATGCTCTTTTGGAGATGGCAAGAGAATTCAGGACTACGATAATCCCAATAAATGCTCAGACATGTCTCAGAAATTACTGGATAAGATGGTATCTTCATTTACAACATTTTATCTCCTTTTGAGTCAAGGCTGCTCTAAAATGGTCACCTCATTATATTATCCTCCAAAACTTTATTAAATCCACTGTATGGGTAATTTTTCTTTCTCACAGCTGACTTGATTGTAACACAAATATATTACGCATCGATACTTCCATCTCTCTCTCTCTCTCTCTCTGTATATATATCTAATAGCTTACTATTAAATGAAAAAAAAATTACAGATCCTCAGCAGTATAGACTGAGTGACTACAATGTCTTCCCCGACACATCACATACTCACTGGAAGTGCTGACTGTTAGTTGCAGTCACTGTAATCACACTATCTAGTGACCTTCCTCTTAAGTTTACTCACAGTATGATTTTGTCTTTTACCCAATGGAAAAAAAGAAGTATGAGAATTACTTATCTATTGGTTTGTTTCTTTTTTCTTTTATACATCTTGACTTTCTCTTTGCAAATACCTGAAACTTTCCTCTGCTACCCAAGGTGTCCTATGATGTGTGAATGAGCACAGAAAAACACACATGGTAGAACTCTGAAAAAAATAACACTCCCTTCCCCTGCCCAGATCAAGTAACTCACAAACCAAAATGCTAATTAGACTGAGAAACAAAACCACAAGGAACAGATGAAGATTCAGGGAGATGAAAAAGGAATGATTACCATTTTCAAAGTAAAACCGGTGAAAGTCCATCCCTTCTACTAGATTACCCAGTGCTTCAGGTTCAAAAGATGTAAGGCCTGGATCACAGATTTTTCTGTGGAGAAGAGGAAATTCTGTAATAAACACAGAGTTATGTAACACAACTTTGGAGACATCACTTTTAAAATGTTTCCTTTATTCCCATTGGACATGCTACCTACCTGTGCCATCACAACGGAAAAGAACAGAACTTAAATGGAGAGAAGTAATGGAGTTCTCGTTTCACTGGTTTCAAATTTGCCAGCTTACTTTAGGTGGACTGCATGTCATGTAAATCACCTTTTGACGAAGAAAAAGACTGCCAAAGAAGGTCCCACAAATATTGCAAGTAGGAATTTTTACTCGTGACTCTGAAAATTGCTTCTGTGCAACTCAAAGGGTATTTTTTGTGTCTCACATCATTATTTGAGCAAGATTTAATTTCATTTTTAACTGACAAAATTTAGGTAAGAATTTGGAATAAGTTTCCACTTGACATTTGTATAACAAAGGTTTTAATGTGGTCATACCAAACTAAAGCTTAGTGCTGGCAAGTCTTTAAACAGGATGAGCTGTATCACTGTTGAACTGTGAGGCTTGTGCTGCAACAGGACAGAATCCACCCAGAGAAACACAGGAGACCAAAAGAAATGCTGAGAAGGGCTTTCCTCTACTTTTTTAAAAAACTTTTTTGAGGTAGAAAAAGAAGTAATAATGGAATAGTGTCTTTGCAGAGAAAAGCTGACAGAGGAATCGGTCCACTTTCCCCCAGCGAATTCTTGCACAGTGCTCCATAGAGGTTGGTGGACCCAAATTCCATGTGGTCTTTCATGCTCTGAAGTACAAATGGGATTCTAGCTAACATCAGTCTCTGTATTTCTAATAAAAGAGGCTTCTACTGTGTTTTCTGGATTCTAAATCACAAAAATGACTTTACCTTCGTATACTAAGATAGATCACTGCCTATCTTGCATCAGGATTATGATCCTGTCTCAGCAGAGTAGTACATTAGATTACACTAGCAGCTCCTCTCAAATTGGCAACCAGGCTTGTGTAAAGCCACGGCAAAGCAGCAATGAACATGTCTTGTGTTTCTTGGGGGCAACTCAACGCATAAATACAAACACACACACACACATATAAACATGTGTATTTACATACACAGTGTCAAATACATCAAGTCTCCTCAGTCCCTCCTAAATGAGAAAACTTACGTGTAAGCTTCAAAGTCCCCATTGTTGATAGCTTCAATCAACTGCTCAGTAACCTTGATAATCTCCTGCTTACGAGCTAGAGAGAGATACAAACACAACTCTTAAAATGGAAGGCAAAGTAGAAGGTGACAGCTGAAAGGCTGTCAGACGAACAGCCATAATAAAGGAATTCTGTCACTCCCCAGCTGGCACAACGGCCATTTCTCTGACCAAAGGACACTATGTCATATTGCTGCTTTACACTGTTTTGGCTGCAGCGCACTCCTGTATTCATAAGGAAACTAAACACACGTCAAGATCAATCCACTTTCCTATCATGCTTTTCATCATCTTTCCTTCACTGAAGGATCTGCTGTTTAAGAAGCAAAAGAAAACCAAACCCCAACTCTTAACCTCAAATTAAAAGAAACTGATTATTGTTTTACAAGTGATGCTCTAATGTTTCATATACACACGGGGCCTTTACCTTTTAAGTGTCTACTGCTGATTTTCATGAATCTTTGTAACACTTGGTGTTCACTTTGGCCAAATGTGTACGTGGAAGTAAAGAGGAATTTAAGCCCTAAGCCTATAATCAAGACCCTTCGGTGCAAAGCTCACGGATTACATATAACGCATACACATCCACACAGGTCTAACTGCTACACAGTGTCTTTCTGCTCTGACTTCTGGGATTGTGCCTGTCCTTTGCCTGTAAAATGCTTAACGCATCTATATTACAATGAATCTCAATTAGATCAGTCAGCAGTATTACAGTACATCTACTCACTTCTACTAATAAATGCTAAATAGTAACAGAAGAATAATACACTAAAAACAATAAGCAGAATATGTACTTCTAGTAAGAATATTCAAACTCAACAGTGTGTGCATATGCCTCAAAGGAAAAAGTATGTGAAACAGTTTCTCCTTTATCTATCAAGTCAAGAAATAAGTCCACAGTTCAGTATTTGTTAATGTTGATAGGAGTTACACTGAAACAGTGCAGAGTAAACAAATTCCTGCATAGTGGTATCATCATTACTAATACTAGTTACTCTAGGAGGGCAACGTTCTGACTTTATAAAGACAGAAAATCTTACTGACTTCACTTTGAAAAATCACTTATACTTTTAAAAACTTATTTTTAAGGAACAGAGGTTTGTATTTTTGCACCGTATACTCATCATTTGGTAAAGTTCAACCTCACACCCATGAAGTTCACCCAGAGCGGCACTGCTCTCAAATACAGATTTTTGTGAGTTTAATGCTAAACGGGTAAGAAAGAGAGATTTTACCAGCACATTTGCAAGGATTTAATTTACATTCAACTCCTTATTAAACCTCAGAAAAGCAATTTGGAAGACCAAGCTTGAAATAAAAAGAAATGCAAACAACCGGGCTGTAGTAGCTCTCCTGTGCAAGCAACAGTTGTAATTCTGCTGCGCACTCCTACACGTGGAATAGACTATTAACACACACACACACACATATGCTTGGAATGTTAAAACCAAAGTACTGAGAGAGCTCACATTCTTCTTGGAAAAAAAAATATGTTGGGGAGCACAGGCAGAATGCAAGTCTCCAATGCTGTACTGCAAGAACTGGCATCGTGGTGTTAAAGAACCTTTTCATTTCTTTTATGCTCCACCATCTCTTTTAGTAAGTTCACACCTAATATATTCAGATTAAAAGCTCCAAAAAGAAACCAGCAAGGAAGGAAGTGATGGAGAAAAAAGTGGATATAGAGGTCTAGCAAGGCTTTTTATGAACAGCTCTTGACTACTAGATAGCACAATGGGTAAGAATATTTCCAGTATGAATTGCCTTATTTTTCCACAAAGATTGTGGAAAGAATTGAAGAATTTTAATGAAGAGATGTTTTGACTGCAGATCAGCAATTGCTTCATTGTTGTATGTTTAAACAACACAGACCAAACTGTGGACAACGTATGGCATTGTCAGCACAAGCCAAGCAGTGGGATGGCTGAGTAAGAAATAATGGTGCAGTGTTAGAAAAGGCTGGCAAAAAGAAACCCAGAAGATGCAGACTTCACGCAGCAAGGAAATCTCAAGTTTTCATGCTCTCTCTCATATACATATAACTAAACTAAAGGATTTGATTAAATAACATGGTAACACATTCCAATTAGAGACTAGGAAATTACGAACTATTAAATCAGTGGAAAATGAGGTAAAATTCTCTGATGAGCTGCTACATAATCATGAGGTCATGTTATTGGATAACTGTTAATGTAAGCAACGAAAACATCAACAAAGATACTGTAGTTCCCACATGCAAGAGACAAAGCCACATGGACACGTAATTTTACTTTCACTTGGCTAGAGACAATTGGCAATATCCCCTTTTTCACTAAGAGCATTTCTTTCCCAAGTTTTACTATGAGAAGCCCACAGTTAACTTACATGTTACACATACTCTGGCAGAGAACAGCAAACAACAGTGAGTATCTGCATATATTGTATTACACAACATTCGGTGATCCAAGCCCACAGGCTTATTAAGGTGTTTTGTTTTGTTTTAAACAAATAGTGTGCAACAGCTCAATTGAGTTGGATGGGAACTTGACTCGCTGGCATCTATTCGTGCCTTCAATAGTATGAGTTGAAGGACTGTGAGTGACAGAAGTTTCTCTCTGTGAATCTTTGAGATTTTGAGATGTGAGTTCAATCTGAATGAGAATGGAAATTTCTGCTAACATACGTTCGAAAAAATTGTTTGGGTCAATCAAAATGTTGCACTTCAATCATACCTTTGATGTTGTGCTCCATTACAAGGTGTAATTCAACATTGACCCCAGAAGGGAGAAATTGAACCATATCGCCAAGCTGGTCTTTTTCCCTTCTTTTTCTTTCAAAATGAATTTAGAGTGGAACACAGGTTTTCAGGAAGCTTTCTGATAGAAGCCACCTCATATTACAGAATGTGGTTCCAGCAAAGTTTCTCTGGGCAGTTCTAACATCTAGTAGAACTCTGTCTGCTGACCTGTCCATGGAACATAAAACACATCCATCAGGAAGCTCTACGGGCCAGAAAAAGTAAGTAAAGGATATTAAGACTCAAATCAATGACCGTCCAACTCCAGCACTAGCGTCAATTCTTCCATACTTGCGGAAAGACCTCGCAGTTCATGGTGCAGACCATCGGGAACAGAAAGAGGTTGCCAAATCATCTGCCTTCCAACTCATTTCTCAATTTTTCTACCAAATTACAAGCACCACGTGAAACTATATCTGAAAGCAACTACGCTACTCTTCCCTTTCAGCAACACACAAATAATTACACACATATTAGAAAATCCAATTTCTTCCTATTTAGTGATCTGATACGCGATCTCATTGGCAGAAAGTGACTAAGAGCCAAAGACAGAGGTGGAGAATATTTTAGAAGCTGGAGTTCCAGAAATGATTCATCCTGTGTGCAACCCCCCCCTCGTTCTCCGCCCTGACTCATTTGAGAGCAAGAGTGAACATTACAAGAAAAAGATGGTCAAGGACAGGCAGCATGAAATATGCAGTAACATCAGACATGAAAGGATAATTAAAAATCTCAGTAGCCACCATGATCTTACACAAACCTCCTACTGATTGTTTTTGGGGATCTGTTTTATCTTAGCACTTTACACTTTCTGGGTAGGTATGCGCAGGGGTGCAGGGAGACAGCACAAATACAGACCAAAAGTATCTCAGCCTATAAATACATTGTCTAGGAAGCAGAGGGTCAACCTAGGAGCAAGGAAGAGAAAGGAGACAGGGAAGAACTGGAGTACAAGAAGCAGAAAATTAGAAGGAGATTGGAAAGCAGCAAGAAGGAAAATATAGCCACGACTTGGTGGCCACACGAAGTTAAATACTTACGCTTTTCCTTAGCGCAAAGGAAGAAATAGGGAGGACACTGAAGATGAACTGAGGTGAAATGGATATTGGTAGGAACAAGGTCCTGCTATTGCAGACAACATCTGACAGAAATAATTGGCACTTATTAAAGTGGTAAGAAAATTACCAAATTTTCATTATAAATTTGATGGACTCCATGCAATATATGCTCTTCCAAACCTCCAATTTATTTTTCCATCTAAATACACATTACAAACTACACAAGGACAACAAGCAAACGTACGAGACATTAGGGAAGAGTCATCTGGCCAGTTCCCATCTGCCAGATAACTGTCACCTAGCATCACCACTGTAATTTGATTTTTTTTTTATCCAGTAGTAAACTTTGCTTGTATTGAATTCTAGAACTATGCTGTTTGACGTACAGTGGCAATTTTATGCTATTATACTTTTTATTTGATGTGCAGTAAGAACTTCCTAGATAACATACTTCAGCGTTGATTAAAGCCGGTCAGAGATCCATATGCTCTCTCACAGTGCGATGAGACAATTGGACTGAACCAAAATATGTGGTTTCTTTGGCACTGTGAGCCCTGTGTATTACAGCTGTCTTATTCTTTCCCTTTAAAATATCATCACGTGTTCAGAGTGCAAGGACTACATCTAGTCTTATGGGATGTAAGAGTTTGTCTGATAAATGACAAAAATACTCTAAGATACAGGAGGAAAATTCAAAAATTGTAATGGGAATCTGATAAAACTGGGTCAGCTACTTTTTCTAAAGGGTGTAGTAAGAGCCAATTGAAGAATTAAAGCCTGACCCATCTATTACTGTCTTAGAATATGGCAATGGCTTTCTATGGCATAAAATTATATAATCTCTGTAAGCAAAAGATTACTTAGCAAAAATATATTTAGTGTTTTTAAAACATCTGAGGTGTGAGGGAAGAAGACTGCTAAAAGAAGTCAAAGGTGCTGAGCCATTTTCTTGAAAAACTAATAATGAAAAAGACCACAGATAGCACAGCAGAAAGCGACCATAAAATGGCAAACTTGTGTGGAAAAGGTAGTAGCTTTTACATTCTTTGCTCAGAATACAGGTGAAGTAAAAATATGAAAGAAAAGACCATGGACCTACTCTCTAAATAGAAACCTTACCCCTGCAGGGTCACTGAGTTGAGGTAATAAGATACTAGCAGATCAAAAAAATACAACCCCTGCTTTGGCAAGCAAGTAGGT